CTCTCTCTTAGCACGCACCTCCGCCGCGCCGGCTGTCGATTGGGAAGCCTACTCTCGACGGCGCCGGCCGGAGAGTTTGGCAAGCTGCACACTGTCAAATCCTTACCAACCTAAGCATTTGGCACCCTTGCAATACAAAGGATTTGCATTGTTTTACAAGCTTTGTAAGGTGTAACCTAAGCATTTGGCACCCTTGCAATACAAAGGATTTGCATTGTTTTACAAGCTTTGTAAGGTGTTAACAGTGCAGTGTGTGTGACAGTTGCTTGCGCTCTTTCGCCGTCGTGCCCGTGACGTGTACCGGCGCGTGGCCGCGGGCCCGCGGGCCCATAACCACCGCTAAAAGTAGCCTCGCCGCGGTACACCAAACACCTCCCCACTTAGAGATGCCGAAATTAAAGTGCCGGACTTCGCCCCGATCGATCGCCTGGCGCGGCGTGCGGCTCGCCTGCTGCGCGGCTGGTTGTTGTTGTTGTAATTGGGCATTTGATGGGGAAACAATCCGCGGGAAAGGCGAGGAGTGCGAGTGAACCCTAGCGAGGCGCGCTCGCACGGCACGGCGGCGGCAAGGCTTGATGTACGTTGCGTCGTCGGGTCACGGACTAACAACGCTGTCTTTTCTTTTCCACCCGTCACAGGGGCCTGGACAGCTCGGCCTCGCTGCAGGTGGTGTCGACCCTCAAGGCGCTGGCGCGCGGCGGCCGCACCATCGTGTGCACCATCCACCAGCCGTCCGCCACCGTGTTCGAGCTGTTCGACTTCGTGCACGTGATCGCCAAGGGCCGCACCGCCTACCAGGGCTCGGCGCTCAACGTGGTGCCCTTCCTGCAGACGGCCGGCATGCCCTGCCCCAAGTACCACAACCCCGCCGACTTCCGTAAGTACCGCGCCACGTGTGTCCTGTCCTGCGACTCCTTGGCCCGACATCTGCGGACCGCTTCGTGAAACTTTTCCGTGGCCACGGCCACGCGGGGCGGGGGCATCTCGGGGACCCGGCCTGTGGCGGGGCTGCATAACTCACCCGCGATTAGAATCGCCACCGCGCTTATCTTCCCGCTAACTTCTCATTTTCTCGGCCCGAGCCGGCGGCGGCGGCGCGGCCGGCCGGCTCAAGTGAAAAAGTCCACCCCTCGTGTTGAATTAAGTGTCGCGCTCCCCTTATCGCGATGACTTTACCGAGCGCCTCTGTCCGCTACGCGCTACGCGTGGGAAAGGCAAGGGCGGTCATCCCCGGCGACTCCACCTGCCGTCCTGCTGCT